CAGCCACACAGAGCTGCTCTGAGAGTGTGCTGCACCGTGTGTTAGCTGCTGCTGGAGGCCAGGTGCCAGCCCCAGACTCAGAGAGAAAGCGGGGACTCGGCTCCACCATGTTGGCTGGGGCCCACCCACTCTCATTTCTCTATTTGCATCACTGATTTGGCAGGGGGGTGAGTTCAGGACCCCCAGTTCACCCGGAGAGGGGCATTTCCTCCAAATCTCTCACCTACAGAGCGGGGGAGAGCCAACCAAGAACAGAACTGAGCGACATGTTCCACCAAGGCCAGTAATTTGACTCCCCGCCCCTAAGCGCCTGACTCTAAGGCCCGGTCTACACGAGGCCCTTAGTCCAAAATAAGCCCCCCAAGGTCAAATTTGTAAGCAGTGTGTCCACACTACCAAGCCCGTTATTCCAGAATCAGGGGCTGCGGAATTTAAACTCTGTAGTCCTGCTTTTCATGAGGAATAATGCTATTCCCAAACTCGTAAGTCTGAAATAACGTTAGTGTGGATGCTCCAGTGGAGGCCTCCCGCAGCTCCCCGGAGTGCTGCCTCTGAGTCCGAGGTAGCGTGTCCACATTAGCGGAACCTGCCTCAGGCTACATTCGCTGTGCCCCGTAGGGAGGACACGGAACTTTGAATTTGTAAAATCGGGTGCCCAGAAGTGGCACTTAGTAGATTCGAAATAATCTCCTCATGTAGACGGGCTGAGGGCCTCTGGCTGGCAGGAACTCTGCCGCCGCAGGAATGTGATCTAGACTGAGTAGCCATGTTCCCTGTAAGCTGAGGGCTTGGGTGGCAGCCCAGGAAAGAGTCAAATGCCTCCCAGCTGATTAGCAGAATGCCCACAGCTGGCAGCATGTGTGCCTCTTGGTGGTGCACATGTCTTGGTGCACAAAACAAAATGCATTCTGCACATGAAAAAATTAGAGGGAACGTTGCTCAGCAGCTGTGAGACGGGCGCTTCCCAGGAAACTGGGAACCTGCTGCCCAAACACCCAGCCACAACTGCTGGGAAGGAGATCAGTTTTTCACCCCTGTGCACTGGTGCCTGATGGGGATTGGGGGGTTTGAACCGGCCACTGTAACAATCCCCTTTTTCCTCTCAGTGACAGCATCGAAATGAACGAGACCCTGCACGATAACACGGCCCAGCCCTTTGCCTACATCAGCTACGAGCCCGACCTCTTCCTCTCCAGGTGAGCCAGCTCGAAGGACAAGCCAGGTGGAGAGGCAGGGGACCAGGGAGGGATGCCCCATCTCACCCAAGGTAGTTGGGGCCTCTCCCTTGAGCGGTGTCCTGGGATTAAAGCAGCCAGAACGAGAGCCGGTCCGCATGAGAAACCTGCTCAGCCTCCCCGGGGTGAAATCAACCTGGCTGAGTTAAGTCCTGTGTGGACGTTCTCAATCTGGTTCAAGAGCGGCTTCGTGCGGCTGAGTTTGGACCCGTCCCGAAGGAACTCGAGCCCGAATGGAACCCAGATGAGCCTCCGCCTCCCGCCCCCCCGGCTGTTTGCACAACTCCAACTACACCCGGTTGAAGGCGCGCTTTCAGTGAAACCGGGGCGCCCTTCTCGTGCAGCGGGGAGGGGACCCCAGTGCTGAGGCTGATTGCGGGGGCTGCTAATAAACCATGCACTACCCCCATCTAGCCCTACTGCAGGGGGGCCTAAGGAAATCCATCCACCCACTCGACCGGCACTGGGGGTCTCCGAATCGCTTGGGCCAGGGCTGAGCCACGAGGAATTGGGGCTGAGACTCCCGCAGACTTGGCCTTCCGGTCTCTTAGATGCTTGAACCGCCAGCTCCCAGCAGGACACGGGACTGCCCCCTGCCACGTCCCATGAAGCAGCTGAGCAGGGGCTGCTCTGACAGTGCCCCGTCTTAATCCAGGCTCCCGCAGCCCTTGTGTTCTGGGGGCTAGCGGTGTCGAGACAGCAGGGTGGGGCGCTCAGGGGCCGATTTGCTCTGCTGTCTGTCTCCCCAGCGAGGCCACCTTGAACCGCTACGAAGTGCATCCGGCGGGCACCTTCCCCAGCAGCCCCGGGCCGGAGTTCAAGACGACCATCAAGGTATCGGCGAGGGGGAGGGACAGACCAGGAGGAGGGGGGGATGCCTCCAGCAGCTCCCGGGTGGGGGGGGAGTCCTTGGAGCCTCTTCCTGCTGTGCCTTGTCTGGAAGGGAAGGGCGACCCCGTAGGAGTGAAGTGGACCCCCTCCCCCGGGGGTCTCTGAGCTCCAGGGGGTGCCAATCCAAAGCAGTTTGGGGGATCCCCCTAGTGACCCAAGCTCTGGGGTGCAATGGCGGGTTTGTCCTGCCGCGTAGGGCCTAGCGGGCAGTCCAGCAGGTCTAGGTGCTGGGCACAAACACAAGCCTCCTGGCCCCAAGAGCAAGCAATCCAAGCGGATCCCCTTCGGGCTGCTCCAGATCTTTCCTGGACAGCTGGCGTGTGGACGTCGGCCGAGCGGCTGCCCCGGGGTGG